CATATATATTTCATATTTAAAATAATTTAGCAAATGGAAGATAAATCGCGTAAAAGTATGCAAACTAAACTGCAAATGATGTCTCAATACCGCAAGGAGGGAAAACGGGCAAGTGTACCYAAACTTGCACAGAAGCCGGAAGACCCCTTATCGAATGCTAAGCGTTATGTCCGTGAAACAGCGAGTATGTTGTTCCTCAAGAATGAGTTGGAAGTCATTGAGGACACCATAAAACAAGTAAAATTTGCAACGCTTTGTTCACAAGCCAAAGAGATTTACCCAAGGTGAGAGAAAATATATATAAAGTTACTTCACAGTTAAAGTTATATAAAATAGGTTTATTTAAGTATTAAATTCACATGATACAATTGCTCGGTTTTGTACATAATCGAGTTGCTTCTTTCTTATGAAGGATACTGGCAAAGTAAGCTCAACCAAAGCGAGGGAGATGTTGAGTTCTTCTAACCACATTATCCATGACTAAATTGCGTTGAATTTTTACTTCATTTGTGTATATTATACTGATATCTTAGTGTTACCTTAAGCCCACTTCGCTTTTGAGGATAGTGTTGATTTTGTTCTTCTTAGCTTATCTAAAATTTTATTATGACCACATTAACTCTCTTGCTCTCGCTCTTTAAYTTCCGTCTACTGAGGCTTAGCAAATTATTTGCAACCTTGGGCCAGCTGTCATGTTACCTATACACACATAGTGCTCTTTTATACTCTTGCAACCAGTTGCTACAGAGAATTATAGTATTGTTCACCTTAACTTTGTTTATACCACCTAAAACTAAATGAGATAGATATAGGGTTATACTATATACATATAATATATGAAGTATCATGAGGGCGAGACGAATTGAAATCCGGGTGACTTTCCGTCCGTCCGTCCGGCCGTCCGTAGAAGCTGTAACTATAGTAAGATATCTTGATGAAATTTAGCACACGCGTTCCTTGGCAAAAAAGAAAGGCGGAGTTCGTAGATGAACGTAATCGTACCAATACCACGTCCACAAAGCGCCACTAACCGAAAATTGAGATATAAACGGTTGATAACTCCGTCCCCATATAACGGTACTAATAAAAGCAGGATAAATCAAAAAATAATTACGTCAGAGGCATTCAATTTTACCTCCAAAGATGTTATGAAAAATGTCCGCATGCACTCCCGGCGACATCTCCAATTTGTTTGCTGAATTTTTCAAATCGAATTATGTTCACGACGATCCTGGTACTAGTTCCACTCTTTCGGCTAATAATTTCCGATTCATAAATTTTGGCACACTGTGTCTTTTACAGGATGATATTGCCAAGGCTATTTATGATATTAAGTCTTTTCGCAAATTGGATTTGGATGGGCTTCCGCCTATACTTATAAAAAACTGAACTGCCTTGGTATATCCTCTCATGCTTATAATCAATAAGTCTCTCCTCTGGGAATTTTATTTCTGATTGGAAATTGACATGCATTACYCCTATTCCTAAAGGTGGTAGAAAGGATCTAGTCTCCAATTACAGGCCTATCTCTTAAACTTTCTACTATCTCGAAAGTTTATGAGTGTTCTGTTAAAAATAAATTATTTTTTGCAGTAGAATCAATAATTGATGTCAATCTTGTCTTTGGGCGCTCCACTGTATCAAACTTAGCGGTTTTTAGCGATTATTGTACTCGTATGTCTACTTTCTCCGCTGGATTTGAGGTAGATTGTGTCTATACAGATTTCTGATAAAGTTTCACACAATATTCTAATTAAAAAATTATCATCTTTTGGGTTTCACTCTGTTTTCTTGCAGTGTATTAAATCATATCTGCACAATAGACRATGCGTTGTCAGTGTCGATGGAGTGTTATCTGATAYATTYATTGCRTCTTCMGGASCACCAMAAGGAAKCGTCTTGGGTCCACTTCTCTTTGTGCTGTTTATCAATGATATTTCCTGTTGCTTCTCTTTCGATAACTTAYTGTTATATGCAGATGACTTMAAMATTTTTGCAATAATCAAAAACCCACAAGATGTATTCAAACTTYAATGTGATACTGATACTTTTTATGATTGGTGTCTGAAATCGAAGSTTTTTCTGAATCTAGATAAATGCTCTCAGATCGCTTATGGTAGGGGACGTAACATCTTATCCACAAGTTACAATATTTCTAATTGCGTCCTAAAATGCGTTACTRAAATCAAAGATCTTGGCGTAATCTTTGACAACAGATTTTCTTTCAGTAATCACATCAACTATGTCACTTCTAAATCATTCTCTGTGCTCGGCTTTGTCCATCGAAATGCTTTAAATTTTTCCGACTCCTACACGTTGAAATTACTGTATACCTGTTTTGTTCGGTCCATTTTGGAGTATGCAGTGTTCATCTGGAGACCATATTGTATATCGTCGATTAATAGGATCGAGCGTGTTCAAAAGATTTTTTTTAAATTTGCTCTCCGCTCCTTAAAGTTCGTTGACCCAATACCATATGTACATACATCTCGTTTATTGCTTTTACATCTTAAACTACTGGAAGATCGACGGTCCGTTCTCTGCCTTTCATTTGTTTTCAATGTTATTAATGGAGGTATTGACTGTCGCTATTTATTAGGGAAAATTAACTTCAACACTCCTCAACGTTGTCTCAGATCTATTTCCCCATTTTATTATAAAAGGGAAAGTACTAACTTTGCTGAATATGCTCCTCTMAAGCGTGTTATGCGTGAGTTTAASTCGATTTCCGAGAAAGTTCTTGTTGATTTTTCTCACTCTAGGGTATCCTTCATTAATACCCTCAATTCTGTTCWTTAGTTTAAGTTATCTRCATATGTAATTGTAAATTAATTATTTTATAATTCTAATTTGCATCATCCTAATTCTYCATTAGTCTGTAAGAATTAATGTTCATAGACTTAACTAAATAAACAAATAAATAATAAGCGTTAGGGCCCATATAATTATATATTACGAGAGATTGTTATTCACTTCCTCTCTAATATATATTTTTACTAGTGGATTCGGCCACGCGCTGCTGTGGTATACATTTTATACTATTATTAATATAATAAACTATTCAATTGTTAAATTTGTATTTACGAATAAAGGCGAACACGTTTTTGTCGGTATAAGAATGCAAGGGATTGTACTTGAGGTCTAATTTTGATGTTTGATGTTTATTCTTTGGAAAAAATAAGGAATTTATTTTTCAATATCTGGTTACCAGCATTTCTGTCCAGTGAATAGAGTTGTCYGCTTAATAGATTGTACTTAATAARCATCAACAATTTGGRGCACYGGCCAATGTGYATGGTTAACGGAGATGTCCGTTTCATATAGGGTACATTTAAATAGAGTTTTCACTGAATCTTTTATTTATGACTTGTTTTTACCTCTTATCTTCTGGGTTKGTTCGAACTGGGCACAATGTGCTAAATTTGCTAAAATATATAAAGAAGATTTATTAAAACATTTGCGGTATCGTGTTTCTAAAAATTTAATTATTATACCAAAATATAAAGGTGGAAATATTAGTATTGAAGTTAAAAGTAAGTATACCAATTATTTGTAGCATCGGTCCGCTTCCTTCAGGGCTTTCTTCSGGGCTGCTTGTCCTCTTGTTGTGTTTTCAGTGATTTCCAATRTWTGACTGAACTTCTTGCGTTGATAGAGTTGGCTCTTTTATACTTAATTGAAGCGATGGCGTGATCTGACGTCGAAGATCCTATTTCGACGGGTGCCGTATTTTTTTGGGGGTCGTAAACTTGATAATTTAATTCACGTGTTAGATTTTGATAGCCCGGAAATCCAGAGACCTTCGATACGTTGCACCATAGCAGCAATAGCCCCTATTATATGTGTATATACGAATATATCAGAACCGTTTGCCATGTCAATGAATTTTACCTTGTAATGATTCCTTGAATAGTTATAATAACACAGATCAACAAAACAATTTTTTTGTGCATGGCTTTTATTTAATATATTTGGATTGTATACGTAAATTTTTTTACGTGGCGGGTCCCAAACCCAGCGCAGAACCATAGGGAGGGATGATTCGCCTTCTTACTTTAGCTTGCCTTCAAACGGATGCACTTTGGCTACCCTTAGGATACTTGGTCTAAGACAGGAAGTCGTGAGCCAGAGACGAATCTTTTACATATGGCTCAAATATGGCTCAAATATGTAAAAGATTCGTTTCTGGCCACTCCCAGATGAATGGCCTTAGAGAACTTTCCTCTCTTGCGTGGACTTCTACACACGGCYCCATTTTTCATATAACTATGCATCAGCTTCTTTGTAGAAGCTCTCCGATAGGAAATAAAGTRTGCTCAATATCACAATCCACAAAAAGAGAGATTGGAGCTAATTGCTTAGGAATATCCTCCTCAAAATCGCATATAAGGTTCTGTCGARCGTACTCTGTGAAAAATTAAAGCCCACTGTCAATAAACTGATTGGTTCTTATCAGTGTGCCCCTGAAAAGAGAATCAACACACGCCACCTCTTCGTCGATTTCAAAGCTGCTTTTAACAGCATGAAGAGGARCTGCCTTTACCCTGCTATGTCTGAATTTTGTAGCCCCGCAAAACGAATATGGTTGTGTAAACTGACCGTGAACAATGCCGGAAGCTCTTTCAGRATCGGGAAGGAGCTCCTAGAAGCGTAGGATACCACATGATGTTTTAAACCAGGCGACTTTCTATCGTCCGACTTCTTCATTCTACTTCTGGAGAAAATAAAAGCTTTAGATCTTAATAGAGAGGGTACAAAATTCAATAAGAGTGTACAGCTTCTTGCATCCGGCCATGATATTGATATCATTGGCCTCAACACCCACCTTTATCCAGACAAGATAAGGAAGCGGAGTAAATGGATCTGGTAGTGGACGAGGACAAGACTAAATATATCTAAAGCCATTAACCAAAAGTCCTTTCTCGACGAAAATAGACGTGACTTTACAAACCACTAAACATCCAGGTCCTGCCATATGGTGCAGAGGMATGGATACTGACAACAACTGACTAGTCGGCGTTACGAGTTTATGATACAAAGATCCTGCGGAAGATTTATGCGGGCCGGGGAATACCGCAGTCGATGGAATGATGAGCTAGCCGTGCGAGATATGCGACGACATTGAAATAGTTCAGCGAATTAAAAGACAGCAGCTACGCTAGTTAGGTCAGGACGACCTAATGGATGAAAACGCTCCAGCTCTGAGTACCYGCCGGAGAAACAGATATTGAAAAGGAAGAACGAAAAGGAAGAAAGAATTTTGTGCACGTAAAATGTAGCATACATTACGAATTCATTCCAAAAATACCACGTCTTATCAACTGCGAAGACTTTAATGATTTAATGAAAGAAATCAGACAAAATCTCACAATTTGATAAAGCAATGGAATTTACTAAATTCTGATGTTCAAATATCCCATCAAATACAACGGTATGAAACATTTTCAGTTTTATTTCGTAAAGAAGAAGGACTCTGTTTTTGTCATGACGTTAAAGTCTTTTTTGAAGGTATTCTTAGTCATAATGAGCAAACAAATATGTATGTGTGKAAAATCGTATTTTTTTGAGTTTCTAAGTGGCATGCTTTTTAAAAACTGTTAAATATACAAAATTAAATTTTTACYCCAAATTTACAAAACATGTTTTCATAGCATTGTCTCAGAGTATGAATTAGAAAATTAGCAAACTCCTTTTCCTCAAATATGTATATCTATTATTTTTACAATAAAGCCAAAATGAGGTCAAATAAATATATTATACATAAGTCTCCATATTGCGTTCCTTGCAATCTTAACTGCATATTTTGTCTGTATATTTCATTATTTACTTTCTTTTCTAGGATAAAATCACAAGTGGAGAATAACTTCAAGTTGAATAAAATGATCGAGAACGATATGCTTGGGCATCAAACGCTGGAAACAAAGATGAAGCGTGCTGAGGTGTTGGAGGGCATTTTGGTCAATAATTTGTCGGAGCAGGAGATTGAGTGAGTTTTATAAACTCTGATACACGTTGTATACTTTTTATTAACATTCATTTCAACCAAAATTTAGGCGACTCGATCGCATACAGGAACTTAAAGACGCCATTAAAGAGGAGGATAAAGAAGAAGAGAAATTGATTGCGTACATCAAAAATCGTGCCGATGCATATGTGATGCTGCGGTATACATTGTCAACATTCTGCGTAATTCATTTTAATTCTTTGTTTTTCCTTCCCCAGCTTCTCGTTGTGGAACTTGAGCGAGATACTCCGCCATGTCGATCGCCCTGATAAGCCTTCGCGTATAAAATATCCCAATTCGTATTTACGCTTACCGCTGTTGAAGTTCGAGATGTTAACCATGCGCGCTTGTCCCCCCGAGCATTATGAGGAGAATAGTAATAATTAATACTCTTTACATGAAGTTGTCAGAGTAAAAACTAGTGACTTTGCCTTYTAGTTGATACAATTATGCATTCGGTTATTCGCAAGGTGTATAAGTTAATGCGCGCCTACAAAGAGGAGGTTCCAGCTGCCACAATGGAGCGCTACGTTGATAGCTACCAGAATGAGTTCCTCGATAGCATGGAAATCGAAGATGCCGGTGATAGCAACGAGGTGCAAGAGCAGGAAGAAGAGGAAGATCTATTGCAGGAATCGAAACCTTTGCAAAATGTGCCCAATCGCAAGCAGATCAAAGCACAGAGTGCAAAACTGGTCGAAGAGCTCTCTAAAAAGGAAGATTAAATTTGTGTTCTTTTATGGATTGTTGGTCTTTCCAAATTGTGTGTACAAAAATATATTTGGTAAAATTTGTAGTAGAATTTATATTTACACAACGAAATATTTTATAATTAATATGTTCATATATCTATATGTATTTTGACTGAACTTTTATTATTATTATTAAATTTATATATACCATACATTTATCAGCTCCTAATAATTTACAGAGGCTATATTGACCGATATATTTCGAGTAAAGTCTAGTAGAATAACGAAAACACTAAATGGGTGTATGGGAAGTATTGAACCATACTTAACTCATGCTTTGTATGATTCCATCTATTGTCTAAGAACATCTTGTTGAAACCAACAGTCGTCGAAATCGCAAGCTTCGATTTCAAGTATCAAATTGTCGGTTATCATGGCGCGATAACGGTCGCCATTGACAGCTACATTCTCRCCGGCATCATTTTTGAAGAAATTTAGACCGATGATTCCACCGGCCCACAAACWACACCAAACCATTGTTTTGTCTCGATGAAATGGCAGCTCTTGTATCTCATCAGGTTGCTCTTCGTCTCAAATGMGTCAATTTCACTTGTTCACACACCCCTTGAGCCACAAATGGGCATAGTCGCTGAACAAAATTTGATTCGAAAACTTCGAATCTTCTTGGATCTTTTCAAGAGCCCATAGAGCAAAGCGATGGGCGGTTTCAGTACTTGCACAGCTGTGTTTGGAATGCTTTAAATTTAAGATGTCGACGTAAACGTAAAATGCGCTAAGTCGTTGCATACGTCGGTCCGAGTTGCTCCGAACGAATGAAGTCTCCACGGTTTTCGGATTAACTCATAGCCACGACTGTTATATTTTCTTCACTGCATGCTGGACGTAGTCTATTCGGTTGAATATTATCCACTAATGAATACTGGGTCACAACAGGGGTGATGGTGTTGCTAATAGTATGATCAGTAGGCCGATTATGTAGACCATAAGTTGAACAAATCGAGCGAAACATATTCTTTACAGATCGTGCATTTTCGTAATAAAGTTAAATGATTTTTCAACCTTTGTTGTTCAGGCGAAAGCCCTTCCATGACGAAATTCCACACGATACTGAACAAAAATAACATGACAACTTGCTACGACTTACGAGTGATCTGTCAAGAAAGGCTATTGAAAAAAGTGTCTCTACTTGGATCACCCTTAACATCAAATTGACAAGACAAGTTGAGTTTCGGAAGCTGATTTATAACTTAGCACATGGGGAAAGTCGGTATTGCCGATGTGCGAAGTGGAACCGTTTATACGCTTAAAATTATTATTTTTTTGGTACGGAAGCATTGCATAGGAATCACCGACGATTTTTGGATGAAATTCTACATCTCAGGAACAACTTGACCAAATATAAACAAAATTTGAGACCAAAATATASGAAATTAGCAAAATCGGATAAAAGCCATATAAAATTTTACTATTTTATAGAATATATTTAAGACAGGCATCAAAATCTTGCAAGAAATTGCCATATTAACTAAAAATATCGGTCACTTTGTGAAGGGTATCAATGAAATTGAGTGAGACACTTAAATTTTTCTAATTGCGTTAAAATAAAAGACATAGTATGTTCAGTGTTTGGATTAAAAAACACACTAAAAAAATTTCGATATGAATTTTAGATGAAATGATCTACGTATGTACATACATACTACAGCAGTAGTAGTGAAGTACCCGCAAATTGTAAATAAAACGCWAAATATTTTGTGGCCTTCMAAATAATCCCCACCAGATGTAATKCACTTATGCCAACGATTTCTGCAGTAAACCCATGTCTCATTGACAGTTACATTCARCACATGGTGGAAGTATGTGAATCCATGAAATGTTGTGTGCACGATCAAGCTGTTCCAAAGMGWCCTATTTAYGGTACTCCTATTGGAAAACTATTGRCTTTAACAGGACGAGTCGATCAAGAACGCGTTTMATACCCAAAATGTCCACCAAAATCATTCGAACGGACCCGCGAGAGATGTCGAGCTCTCTTGCTATCTCTCTAACACTGGCCTGACGATTTTCAAGCAATATATCCTTCACTTTTTTTTTAATATTTTCATAAGTTGAAGAGGTCTTAGGCTGTGCAGAACGAGGCATGTCTTCAACGATCTCGTGACCCTATTTGATGSCTGTTAACCACTCGTAGGCTTGTGTTTTTGATTTAACTGAATCACCAATGTTTCAATGATCAATTAAAATCTATTTATTGTATGCAAACTTTTTCATTTGTGAAGGATAATATTGTATTTCACTTGCRATWAAAAGCAACCGATATTTTASTGACTAAATAAATAGATCACAACTCCACATGACAAACATTGCCAACAGTCAATTGAGCAATAAATGAAAGTACGGCTGTGGGTTAGTGGGTCGGTCGTTGTTAGTGATGGAATCAGAAACATTTGAATTTTTCCCTTTTGAAACAAAAATTGTTGCAATTGCAAAAACCGTTTGTAGTTGCTTTGTGGCTTTGTGGTTTTTGCTACGAACTCGTGAGTAAAGTCAAAAGCTTAAAGTTGTCCATAGTACGTTGCATAGCTATAGATTAATACTTACACACACACATACATCTGACATGATCGCAATAAGAACAAGAGAACAGCAGCAAATTGCGATTGCAAGTATCGAATTAAATCGCAACATTTGTTGTTTACTCTATAATTTCATTCATTATTTTCAACAGCGGTATGGTGAATTCAGCTCAGAAGCARCAGCTAACATCAGACTGATCAGTAGCTGAAAAGGTTGTCTTTTCGTGGCTGGATTACAAAAACCAAATGATTTACGGTGGCAGCAACACAACCACCACTAACTATACACAAGAGTGGCGCGCAATTGGGCAGATTTTTTTTTATTTTTTTATTTGTAAGGTTTTTAGTAGGAATTTTTTTGTAATTGAATATGTACCCTGTCTCTTATACACATCTAGATGTGTATAAGAGACAGGAGTAGGCACACATATCTCAGCAGAGTCGATTTCTACCAAATTTGGTGGGTAATATTATCCTGACATTCCTACATCATAGTATGAAAATTGGCGAAATTGGGCTACAAACACACTGCGGGTCTCAAATGAGTGATGATGTTGCGAATAGTACGCTCAGTAGGCCGATTATGTTGACCATGTATTGAGCGAAGCGTGCGAAATACATTCCCTACTGAAAGTGAATTTTCGTGATAAATTTGAACGAATTTAGGAATTTAGACGRTCAAAAATATTTTACAGAGCATTTTGCTTTTTTTGGCTAAATTATACCACTTGGTACTGCTCTTTGTTAATAACACCACTTCTTTGTCGATAGATCCTCACATTCTTGACGGATGTTGTTTTTAAGAGCTGCAAGAGTCTGAGGCTTGTTGACATAAATTCATGACTTCAGGAAGCCCCACAAAAAGAAGTCTAGAGCGGTCAAATCAGTCGATCTTGCTGGTCAGTGCAAATCGCCAAAACGGGAGATTAGGCGCCCGGGAAATGCATTCTTCAGCATATCGGTTGTGGCACGTGCAGTGTGTGCCGTTGCACTGTYMTGTTRYAMCCACATGTTTTCCAATCCCAATTCATCAAGTTGCGGCAAAAAGAACTCGTTGATCATTGCTCTGCAGCGCTCACCACTCGCAGTAACCGTTTGGCCCGCGACGTCTTCGAAGRAAAAMAGTTCGATGACTCCTYCAGTGAAAACAKCACACCATACAGTGACTTTGAGCGGGTGTAATGGCTCTTCRTRRGCCTCATCACTCATGATTATTTTKATGAAAAATCATCTTCCTCTTGGTGGTGATTAAGGATGGCTTGAGCGTATGTTASACGCGATTGGCGGTCAGCAGCTAACAGCTGACACGACATCCTCGGTAACAGCAGCAATATTCTCTGCACAACGGCWACCTCGGGGTCTGCCACGCCTGGTAGCATCTCGWGTTGTGCCAGTCTCTTCGAGGCGAGCGGCTAAACGTCGCAGTGTTTCACCAGTAGGCGTCGGACGGCTAGGAAATCTGCGACAAAATTCACGTTGTGCCAAAGTCAACGACCGAGTATTGGTCAAATAAATAGTCACCAATAACCTGCGTTCTGGAGCAGCGTAGCGTAACATTGTTTGTTGGATTCCTTCATTCGCTATCGATCAGCGTGTAAACTGCTTTCCGCACAGAGGCTTGTGATTTTTATACAATCCTTGGGTGGGTAACTAACTATTTTTTTTTTGCTTTGATTAACAGATCATAGCACGGGTAAAGTGATTTATTTCTATTTCTAATGATTTCCCTTTGTTAAATCTGCTCCAACAAACACTGATAGGGCTTGCTATGGTGTAAGACAAGAAACTTCTGTTCGATCTGATTGTGCTATTTTGAAAGCATMTTCTGTATTTGCCCGCACGTGTTAGGGAATTTTTAATGTCTCGAARTATTTTCGAAGTGTTTCATTTTCCTTGAACGTGTAGCGTGGTGTATGTTGCGTGAACAGTAGAACCCTCACTAAAAATAGATATAACTTTTTTCATTCTTCTGCGTTTAGTTCTTTCTTTACATTCGCTAAAAGATTTTGATGTCCGTACCGTTCGATTTAAAAGATTTGTCGGAATGATCGCAACTTCTTTTTTGTGTCTTGCTGTAGAGTGTAATTGTCGATATTCTCAGGTCTATTTTTGGTACGAGTATTTTCTCTGTGTCGGATATTTATTTAAATACTCTTTTACAATAGTATACTCTTTACAAGTATAGGCTTAGTTCACAGACAAAGATTTCGGTTAGTTTCGAAATATAAGGAAATTTATACTTTCACTAAGATTAAAAAAAAATATATCTTATATCCAATACACAATTAATTTAATCATCCAGGAACCGATAAAGCGTCACCGAGTTTATTACAGCAAGTTGTATTCGGCGTCTTATGCTCGTWTTATRTTATGAATAGTTATWAGTCGTTGGTAATTSCAAATTTAAACTTATACAAATATCACAAAATTTCGAATTATCGATGTACATACYTGCATTTTTGCAACTAACTATTTACTTCGATGATTGAAGAAGACAATAATAACTTGATGAGACCCAG